AAAATATATTTATTCATTAAGCTAAGCTTTTTATGTAAAGAGATTCAAATTATGACCCTTATGAGTCAAACTATAATGTTCGATTTAGATGAATTAAGTAAATCAATTGAGAAAAAGCTTAATATGAGTATGATAGATTTACTATTATATCTCATTGCAAGCAACAATGAAATTTTATTAGTTATTTATTTGTACTCATTTTTTAGGCTACTTCAAGAGACTCGCATCTAATAGCAATCAAGCATATATTTTATTATTTATTAGGCACGCTTAAATTAAATTTGTGATATCCTAAATATTCTGTCATGTTATTTAGTTATATTGCAAATTATGCTAACTACAAAGTCAATCAAAATAGCACATCAAGCACATGTTAAATAATAGGATCATCACTCATATATTGGTAATCTAGCAAGGAAAACTCTATTATTTTATCCACTATAGAAGCTAAATACATTGGTGTAAATAATTGTGTTGCGTAGATTTTCTAACTAAAACAATTTGAAGATTATAAATTTATGTTAGAACACATTCCAATTAATTTTGATAATATTATGCCATTAACATAACTAAGAATCAAGTTCAACAATCATGAACTAAGCATATCAAGATTAGACACTAATTTATTAGAGATCATATTTGCAAAGGTGATACTGACATACTGTTTATTTGTGTTAATTTACAGATATCTTATATTTTTATAAAACTTTTACCAAAAAAATATGTTTGTACTTTAAGGCATATGTTTGACATGCCAGATCCTAATGTTTAAAATCACGTGATTACTTTCCGTTCATTGTTCTTTTCTCTTTAGCATTTATTTTTTATGATGGCAAAAAGGGAAAAAAATTGAAGGTTGACATATTAGTTTTCATATGCATATAGAGGAGCTAATAAAATTATATATTTTACCTCTTGAATATCATGATGCAAGGCCAATTTACATATTCATCAATACTTATTGCCCAGGTTGTCATTATCAAAAATTGGGACATAGGCCCATTAACTTAAAGGTTCATCATCTTGAAATTTAAGATAGCAAATATATGTGTCGATGTTTTAATATATTAACTAAATATTTTAGATAGACTGGAGTCATGGTAGTTCAATTTAACACATTGTAAAGACTACATAATGTGCACGCCAACCTAATATCTAAAAGAACATGGAATCACCTCAGATAGATCAAGACAGGTGCAATAAAGCTCAGGGCATGCGCTAAATTTATAAAGGTATGATTTGTCTTAGTGGTCCATGGGTGTATCTTGCATAGTTTAACAATAATGAGAATCAAATTTAGGTGTATTTTGAATGTTTTAAGCATAATGAAAATTGATAAAAATCATTTTTATTAATCACAAAAAGATTTGGACTTTGTATGTATTAATCAGAAAACTTTTGCAATAATAGGAAACCAATTTAGATTTATTTTGAATTTCTTACATTTACTTGAATTTTTATTATATTTTTTAATAAAAAATCACAAGTTTTTATATACACCATCTTGGACTTTTACTTTAGTTCTGTGGAATCCGAAATAGCATTTCGAGTCTAAATCATATATTTGTGACAGTGCTATGTAGAATTACTAATCAATTTATAATATTTACTATTTCCTTTATAGAACAGGAGCAGCTACTATTCACATGCTGAAAACACAATTCAACTGAAACTTGATGGCACATTTTTGGAGAGCAGCTATTGCAAAGAATGAACATCACCAAAACAGAGAATAGAAGCAAGTATGAATTTGAATAGGAGTCTCATGGAAGGACCCTACCGCTATTATTTATAGAGGATGTACAACCTATGGATACCGAGGCTGCCATCAAATCAACATTAATTGTGAACATCCTCACTCTCTCTTATATTGACAATAGATCCTCCTTATACTCGCAGATATCTCCTTTATCCCCAACTCCTCTCCCTAATGTCGCATACACTACCACACTTCAAGCCAAGCCATCTCCACAAGGCAAGTTACCACCACTTGGTTAACTAGACTACTTGGACGAATCACCATTACTTCCTACAATGACACTCGCTCCACTGATGGTATTCAATGTGAGTGGAAAACTAAGAAAAGTGAAGATCTCTTTCTCATCCAACACCAATAAAATCCATCAAGAAGGTCTCACAATTCATACTCATTTAACAATACATAAAAAAGCGAATACCTAAAACATCTACTCAAAAAAAAAAATTATTGCATTAATATCATAATAAACTTGTCACCCAAAGGTGAATACACACATCAATTTAAAAAATATATATATACAAACAAGGATGCTAGTTATGACGAAGCATCCCTAGTATAGGATCACTCGCCATAATCGATTTCAGGCCACCTATCCACTCCAGGCACTCCAGAAAGCACTTACTGGTAGCTAGGAAGCTCCCCAACTTAGTTTGTTGAACAACTGAGCCCCATTCGACCTGATGGGCCCCACGACATCCTTCACCACCACAAATTGCACTGAGTGAAGGAAAACATCTCCTTCAACTCACCCACCTCTCTTCGCAGCTTGGCAACCTCTCGCGAACTGTCTCATCCCTCAGAACGGCTAGCTCACCAATACCCTAGAGATTCATTGACTTCTCCACAATCACCAGTCTCGCAGCAACCTCCTCTCGATGATCAACTTCGAAGGAGGGAGGTCAGAAGATTGAGGGTTGGATAGCAAGGTAGCTGATCCTTCACCACCACAAATTGCACTGAGTGAAGGCAAACATCTCCTTCAACTCACCCACCTCTCTTCGCAGCATGGCAACCTCTCGCGAACTGTCTCATCCCTCAGAACGGCTAGCTCACAAATGCCCTAGAGATTCATTGACTTCTCCACAATCACCAGTCTCGTAGCAACCTCCTCTCGATGATCAACTTCGAAGGAGGGAGGTCAGAAGATTGAGGAGGAAAGCTAGAATTGGAGTCACCACTTCCTCAGCAACGCCTCGACTTGCTGTGACCCCCTCAATGTTGCCTTAGTTCTAAAATGACCTCTCTAGTGGCACCCAAATCTATGCTAGCTTATCCAAAGGAGAAAATCCAAGCTTAAAAACATAAGGTGCTTCAGCATCCACAGGGAACTGAGAGTAACAAATCTTGTGGCATGTTACCCCTAAGATACTTGAAGGTCACTCATGCCTTTAAAGCCTTCATCTCTTATTAACTTGGCAAACGTTATAATAGCTAGATCAAGGATACATAGACTATACATAGACTACTAGCAGTCTCACAGTAGGACCCTCCTTAGTAAATCAATTCTTAAATAATTATACGAACTTACCTGTTATAGGAAGAACTTCCTACGAGCTTGCTTCGAGAAATGAAAGTTGCCTAAACTCATGATGGGAACTCGCCTCCACAGTTAAGGCTCAGAGGCTTGTCATCCTCATCCACGGCAGTGTTTGAACCTTTGGGAGAGGCCGGGACATCTATAGCAGGCACATCGTCGCCGGGGGGGGGCACTATGCTCCCCAACAGTGGTGGTCGCCTCCACAACCTCAAACCTTGCTCTCTTTGTCGGAGGGCAACAAACTCCATAGACTTAGCCGGTTGTCGAGCCTATTCCAAATTTCCTCCTTCTCGGGCAAGGCCCTAGATGCCTAGGAAGCCTCCAGCTGGGATGAAGCTACTCGTCCTATGTGGTGGGTCGCCTTCCTAGAAACACTATCACATGTGAAAATCCTTAAAAGGAGATACATTTCGCATAAGCACTCATCAGTTCACTAACAACAAGAAACAAAGAAATCAGTCTTTCGAGACTCGAAAGCTACAATGTACATTAGAAGACTCCCGTATAGAAATGATGTCAGCATTACAAAGTCAAAATGATTTCCGAAGATCATCATAAAACAGGTCTATAAATTTATATTTATTGCTCTGCTTGTGTTACGTGGCTACTAATAATATCATTCATTTGCTCTTCTCGTGACCTGCCAGTCAAAGAGTCTAGAGAACCGAGAAACTAAATGTACATTCCTTATCACTTTCTCGGGCGTCCTCGCAGATAGCGACCAAGTAATGAATAGGATATTCCTTCTAAAAAGGAAATACCATAAAGAACTCATCCTTGGTTAACAGAAGAATCCGCTCAAGGTGCATCGCTTGCCTAAGGAACTCGCCCAATGTTAGGCGACCAGAAGGCTCCTCATTAAAAAAAATGATCATCATTCATCTCTGTCAAGATCCCACCCTTTGAGCCCGCCCAACTCGTTTACATGACAACGCCTACCTCAAAAACCCTTCACTTGCTCAAACACAGTCCACGTAAGGCTCAGGAATCATCATCCCCGTCTATAGACCACAACTCACCTTCATCAAGGTGACAACAAGCCTTCTATGTCGCTCGTATATTCCACAAGAAGAATCTCTAGCTACATGTCCACTCCTCTTAGAACTCGCCACACGTATGCTCGCCTACTCCTGAGCTCGCCCGACCATAGATAATTCATTAGACCATTGACTTCACCCTCCTAAAGCCAATCAAAAGGGACTATGTGTCCTCGATCAACGTGTAGCATTGTACAAGTATCTATGAGTAGTTTATAATTTTTCTTTTCTGTGTAGCCTTTCCTGTATCACCCAAAACCGTATATATATGAGGTGATGAGGAACATTGAAAGTAACTTTTTTGGGGCCTTTGATTTTGACTTTCTGAAGATCTTGGGCTCTAAATGACTATTTTATAGAGCTCTTGATCAGCTACTTATTAAACAACAAATGAGCATGTTCATGAACATAAATAAATGATTTGGTCAATGTTTAAGATAGTTCATATAATGAATTGTTAAAATTTTATTCAATCTTATTCAATAAACATAAATGAGCCTTTTATATACACAAATATTGAGCTTCTCATCAAATACAGTAATCTGTTTATAACCCTAAGAGAGCATTCAGGGTAAGGAGTCTAACTAAGTTAAATGATGTCATGAAAAAAGAAAAGCTACTCAGCAACAACTACGTCAAATGATCTTATTGAGATTTACTACAATACCTGATGAGCAAAAACTCGTGCCATGATAATGTCATTATAACGAGAAAGCACTCGAGCAACATCACGGGTATCCTCTCGTTTTCCCATTTGTATATCATCGGGACCTAAGTATATGGCATGTCCACCAAGTAAAGAGAACCCTGTCTCAAATGAGACACGGGTCCTCATAGATGGCTTGGAAAAAATCATTGCCATGGTCTTTCCTTTGAATGGTTGGAATGCCCGATCTCCTGACTTCAACAATGCTTTGACTTCACTAGCTTTTTGAAGGATACTCATTATTGTTTCCTTGTCAAAATCACTAATATGAATAAAATCCTTCAAGCGACTTTTTTCTGCAGAAAGATGAGGACAGAACTCCAAAGTTAATAATGCAATTATTCCAAAGAAAGCATTCATATAAGTGCATATATTGATTATACTTCCATTGTGTATGCTGCGTTATCTTTTAGAATAAGTAAACTTCCCATTTACAGAAGGATAAAAAATGAGCAAATCTGAACCATAAGCACACGCGAGAAGCTCAAATTTTCTTTCCAAATAATCCCATTAAATAATATTTTTAAGAAAATAAGAAGAAAGAAAGAAGATTGCCAGACTCGTATCCAATTAACGGAAACCCATACATTTTGTTTTATAAAAAAATAGATTGACAACGTCAAAAATAAGGCATTCAAGCACACCTAGGAACTGAACTGCAACTCAAAAGCTACCTATTTCTAGCAAATATTAAATGTAACGTCCCTAGAAATGCAAATAAACATCATGATCCAAAAAATCTCATAGAACCCACAACGTCAATGAAACATGTTTCGACGGTCAAAATTCAATAAAAGGAAGTAAGCGAATGAAATGCCCGCAACCTGCTTGATAAAGCATCCGCTTTAAACCGGCTTAGTCAAGAATCTAAAACAACGCAAAAACCAAAGAGGATAATGCCTCAAAGAAGTACCATTGATGAATAGAAGGGAGAAACCGTGATACACACAATATGTATCATTTAGAAAGTAGAAAATTTTGAACCCGCAATTAATAAATCTGATTTCGGGCATTATTGAATAACAGAATATTAGAAAGCAACAAACCAGGGGCACTCGAATCCCTGTTTCCTCGTCGCAAAAACAGGAAAAATGAGCTAATCTCCGGAAAGGGGAGAGGACGATGTAGCGGAAAGCTGAGATAAGTTACCACCTCTTTCATGCGAGGAAGAAATAGAGAAAGCAGCATTAGCTGTGGAGAGGCAACCAATACGAAACCCAGCGCCAGCTGTTCGCGCAGGGGGCGACGGAACCGAGGCAAGAGAGACTGATCGAAGAGGTCGCCGGAGAGATCGGCTGAAGAAGAATGAGGACGCGGAAGATAGGGACGCCAACGGAGAGTCGGAACGCAAAAGGCATTCGTCCAATATCGGAGCCGCCATCGTCGTATTTTTTACCGTTTCGGTTCCGATGGAACTCTCTGCTCAGAACTTTTATTTCATCCGGTAACCGGGCAATTTTTTAAACTAAGCATGGTATTAATTATAATTAAGCAAAAAAATTTTAAACTCGTCAAAATCGTCTGTTTAACGGGCGACTTATATCAGCGAAGTAAGTCGCCCGTTGAACGGGCGACTTATCCCTCAATAACTCAAGTAACCGTTATTTCTGAAAGTAACGGGATTATGTAATTGTAGTAAGTCGCCCGTTCACTTACTCTTGTGAATATAAAAAAAAAATTGCAACTAAAAAGGATTATGATTAATTATTATATATTCTGTTTTATGAATATATGCTCTAATTCATAACAATAAATTAGAATATGTATATCAAATATTACAAATTCTTTTAAAAATTATATATTCTTGGATCATCCAATATTATGTTTTTTAGATCAAACTTCATGTAAGAGTTAATAGAAAAGCATAATAAATTTAATTCCATAATACGAAATAATAGTTCCATAGTAGCAATATAAGAAACATAAACAACAAAATATAACTAAAGCAACTAAAAGATACATGATAAAAAAACTAATGCCTCCTTTTATGTCGATGTGGAATCGCAACAGTGCCTGGAGTAAAATGTTGAGGTGCTCGTAGTGGCCTGGTACGTAGATGGCGCTGGTCCTGATCACTAACATCTTGCTAAGTAACTGGGGGCTCTCCCAAGGAGGAAGGTACGAACTGAGGTGTGGAGGCGATGTCAAACTCAGCTGTGAAGTGGCTCTGAGAGGGACCAAGATCAGGATAGGAGGATGGCCCAGCATCATATGGATCTGCAGTCGGAATGGCTGGACTAAACACCTGAGTATCTGCCTCATCAAAATAATGAGCATCGTCAATGTATATCTGTTGTCGTAATCTTTGGCACACATCCACCTGTAAAGGTGTCCCCTCAGTATTGCCAAAGTGTGGTTGCAATCTTCTCTCAATGCTCACAAAGAAATCTCGCTGCCAGGATTAGTAATTTAGTTAAAATTTTTCATATAATTAAATTTAAATAACTTAAACTTACCATATGACGTTCAGCTGGTATGTACTCGGAGGATAGTATGTACTCGGAGGATCCACTGGGGGCTTTAGCATGTATAGTGTAGCCCAAGAATGAAACCATGCTAAGTATTGCTTCACCTTATAATCATAGTCCAACCCATGAATCTCTCAAGTAACAATGTATGCTCTCCTGCTCTCCCATAGTGCAATACTTGCCTGGTGATACAATGCCCAATCAGTATCTGACTTACCACGTCCATCAACTCTTACAAAACTAGGATCCATTGGCATGATATCAGTGGAAGGGCAGTATCCAAATTGTCGTAGTACTCGATCAGGGAGATGCCACTCAACCCTTTTCCAACTGATCAAAGGAACTCTGGAGAGCCAAGTGTCCTGACCTGAAGTGCATATCTCTGGAACCTGAGCACGAATCTCTGCAGTGTATGGTTCCCATATTACCTGTATCATTTTTATATAATAATTTAATCTTCATAATATCGAACAAATATGATTAAAATGTATCAATATAATTATACTTAACATACCTGACTCTCCAGTAAGCCATCCAGCTCATCCCTGTATGTCATAACATTTCCTACAGGTACCTCCCAAAGTCGTTCCTCATTCCACCTATTTAATATTTATTAATACTTTAGCAATAAAATTAAAATTAAATAACATAAATATAACAAATTACCTTATTCCAACACTCAAACCATCAAGCTAAACAGGAAATGGTACATGAAGCTGAGGTCTTCCAACATGCAGATGCTCCTAAGACCATATCTGTAATAAGTGGATGCACCCTGCTATGTTAGCTCATTTTGGTCTAGTTGCTTCAGATAGCTCCCTGTACAAATGAGCTAGTACTGCACCTCCAAGAAAGTATGTCCTGAATATCGCTATATCCTCCATCAACGGCAAGTACTGTAAATGAATTTCAGAGCCTGAAGTGTCTGGGAGCAGGTGACATCCAAGTAGAAATAAAATGTAAGCTCGCACATGCCTCCAAAAATCCATCTCAGATAGATCAATGTAGGAGTCCCTCCAAAAAATCCACCTCAACCACCTTAGTGGAATACATGTCTGCGCATGCACCTGGCCCATCTTAAACTTCGTTGTCGTGAATTGAATGGGTCATGATACAAAACATATGGGTCCGGATGCTGGCCTAGTAAATCATCACAACAATCTGGCCAACTCAACCATCGTCTGCCTGAACCAACAACTGGGTGTCCAACAAAAGAAGGTCCATCAATCTGTATCCCCAATATCATGGAAACATCCTGCAACGTAATACTCATTTCACCAACTGGGAGGTGAAATGTATTCGTCTGTTGCGACCACCTCTCAAACAGAGCTGTAAGCAAGTGATGATCCATCCTCCTATACCTCATCTGACTGACACTGTCCAAACCCACAAAAACTAAGGCCTCCATAAACCTAGGACAATTAATGGGCCACTCATGGACCATCAATAAGTGTGAAGCAGCCTCCAATATGGTGCCCTGTAAATAATAAAATTGTTGACATATTTGAGATTATTTATATGAACAATAAAGCAATAAGTAATCTATATAAATTTACCTGCTTAGGATGGACTGCTCAGTGGCTGCCTGCAAGTGAAGAAATGCTAGGTTGGATGGTATGTACAGATGGCTGTGTGGATGCCTCCACACTAAAAGGGCGCCTGCGGCGCCCGCGTCCCCTATCTTCTGCTACTGCCATGAAACCTGGTAGGAAAAGGAAATGTTAGGCAAGTATAAATAATATAAAATTTTAATGACATTAGCAAAACATAGCATTTTTTATATGAAAAATAAACAACTTATGAAAATCATTGTTGATATAAAAAATAAGATTAATTTTGGTTCTATATATAATGAAAAAACATTCTACGAATAATGAAAAGCACATTTATGAAAAGCATTCTTGATATGAAAAAATTAAAACTTAAAACTAACCTAGTAGGACAAGTTGTTTTGTTATGTCCTACTATGCCACATGCACCACATTTTCTATTACTTTGACCAATTCCCTCATCCATTGTGTTTATAAAACGGTTTGTTCTTGGTCTCCCATAACGTCTTCTAAAATTTGGCGGTAGGAGTGGATGTATGCCACTTGCTAGATCATGTTGTGCCCAAGTAGATCGGTCTGGAATATTATGAAATGGATCAGCATAAGTCATCTTGTAATTGTCCAAGCTGTAGTATTGTGAGACATAATTATAGTGACTTTGCCTTAGCAATGATATGCAACTAACTACGTGTGGGCACGGGATATGATATATAATAGTCTTCCCACAAGTACAAATGCAATTTTTATTGTCAACTAAATCAACCCTGAAAGATCGAGATGACATGTCAACCACTTGAAACTCACGCATATTTATTCGAATGGGTTCTGGTAGCCTACATGCTTCTTGCTCGATCTTTCGCAGTGTTGCTTGTACTCTTGGTGCAAAGGGTCTAGTTGCATCAATTTCGGAACCCTCTAGCATCTCGTTTCTTCTCAAGTGCAAAGCCACAACATTATAGTATATTGCTGTAATCAACGCTTGAATAGGCAAACCCCTAGCTCTTTTAAGAACTCCATTAAATGACTCTGATGCATTTGTTGTCATAACTCCATAACGAAATCCACCATCATAGGTAAGAGCCCCTGATGTAACATCACGCTCTACCAACCACTGGTGAATATCAGCCTTCACATTTATCATATCTTTCATGCACCTATCAAATACCATTGGGTCATCAGTGTTCCCGGCCATGTACATCTTCTAGCATAGAAACTCAGCGTCACCAACACCCATTCGACGTACTGCTTTTTTAAAATTTTTCCGTAGGTGACGAAGACAGTGACGATGTGCAGCATGTGGAAAAATTTCACGACAACCTCGCACCAAACCAGCGTGCCTATCAGAAATAATACATAAATCAGGTCGGGTGCTAACAATTGGAAGTAGTATATGCAACTGGCTCAAAAACCACACCCATGAATCAACACATTATGATTCTACAATTGCTAAGGCGAGGGGGTACAATCCATTGTTAGCATCAAATCCCACAGCGGTTAGTAAAGTGCCTCGATATTTGCCTAACAGGAATGTGCAGTCAAGGCAAAGTACAGGGCGACAGTAGCTCCAACCTTTTATCGAAGGCCCAAAGGAGAAAAATAATCTCTCAAATCTATGATTCTCAGACGTTTGTATCTTATAAACGGTTTCGGGCATTGAAAACACAATAGCGTCCATGAACAAATTTATGGTTCGGTACGACTCCTCCCAGCTACCAAAAACTATTTTCACAGCTTTTCTTCTAGCATCCCAAGCTTTCATATATGAAACTTTTATGTTGAACTTTGCTTCAATTTGACCGATAATCTCTCGCGGCTTGAGATCCATATGCCTTCTGATACTGGGCAATATGAAGTAGCTTATAAATTGTGAATTACATTGTCTATGTCCAGTCGTTAGAATCGGGGTTGCGCAAGTATGTTGGTTTTTCATGGAAGATATTTTCCATATGCCCCCCAAACGTTTGCTCACCCCCGCATGCAAACGCCATATACATGGTCTGTCTGACCTACCACTCTGAGCACAAACCACTGTAAATTTCTGTCTATTTGAAGCTACAATGACATACTCCACATTATTTATTATTGACCAACCCTGTAATGCAAACTGAAGATCCTCTTTCTTGGTAAAACACATACCCTCCATCAGTTCTACTGGAATTGAAAATTCTTCCTCGACTTGGCTACCAACATAAGCCCTATCATTTGCTACGTCCTCATCCCATTCTCGAGTTGATGAATATGCCTTCACAAAATCATTGTTTACAGTAATTCCTTCTGTAGTGCCAACATTCGTGAAACAATAACGTTGGACCATGCTATGGATTTCAGGATTCATATCAACATTAACTTCATCTAAATGATATTGTGAGTTATTTTCATAATCATCAGGACCTGGATCACTTGATCCACTACTCATTGTTTCATAACCATCATCACATTTAGGGCAAGAAAGGGGTCTCTGCGGGGGGTTAAAGAAAAGAGCTAAGTCGTCCGTTTAACGGGCGACTTATCCAAATTAAGTAAGTCGCCTGTTCAACGGGCGACTTTGGCGAGTTTAAAATATTTTTTTTGTTGGTTAATCGCTTAATTAAAATTTAAATGGTACTTAGTTTAAAAAATTGCCCTCCGGTAACCTGACCTAGCTGTAGGTTCGGTGGCCACTAATATAGGGCCACGTTGCATGCATAATATCGGGATCCGATTAGGCGAATAATGGATATGTAACACATGTGTATTTTAAAATGATGTTGATTCAACAAGCAGCTCATTAATATATGATAATTTTTTAAATAAATTCCTACCCTGTAGATTTTCACTTCGCTTTACTAGATTCAAAGATGAAGCGACTTCTGCAACTGTTCCTTTCCTTCGTAGTTTGCAAGCTTTTGCCTTGAGTTCGAAGCAAATTTCCGGTCGAATATATTCAGATAAATAATGCCTCAAGTTAGAAATTTCTTCCCAATAACATTTATTCTTTTCATATAATTTTTCTGGTTAAAAAAATTAAAATCATATTTTTAGGGTTAGGATTAACTTACCAACTTTCATTTTAGTGTAAAAATTTGAATGTGAACTGTGAGAACATTTCTAATCAATCAGAGTTTCATGTTTGATAGTTCGCAGTAATGCTCGGTACTAATTGGTATTACCAATCGATTTTGTATCTGTATTTATCGGTATTTATCATTTAGAAAATTAATTTAGTTTTAAAACAGTGCATATTGTTTGAATAATATACAATTATTGTTCTATTTTTTTTTTAAATATGATTTGTGCAATGGACGGTATTATTCGGGGAACATGCTTGTACTGCTCTGTACTACTCGGTACAGCTCGATATTCAAAGTTAATACTCGGTATAAATTTTAACATGTAACATGTATTACAATAAATTTTTAAATTTGTTATCTAATATATTTTATATTTAATACTTTATGAAATTTTCTGAAAGCTCTATAGTTTTATTCAGTGCTACTCGGTACTACTCGGTATTACTCGGTACATCTCGGTATTAAAAGTTAATACTCGGTGAAAATTTTAACATGTATTACAATAAATATGTATATTTGTTATATAATATATTTTATATTAAATAGTGTGTGAAATTTTCTGAAAGCTCCGTAATATTGTTCAGTGCTGCGCGGTATTCAAAGTTAATACTCGGTATAAATTTTAGCATGTATTACAATATATATCTAAATATTTTTATATAATATATTATTTGGTGCTACTCGGTACTACTCGTTACTGTTCGGTGTTATTCGGTGCTGCTCGATACTGCTCGGTACTGGTCGGTACTGCTAGCTTATTCAAAGTCAATTCTCGATATTAGTTTAGATATATCATGAAAATAATGTGTATATGTGATCGCTACGAATCCTATGTAATATTACTCGGTACTACTCAGTACTTGAAGCTAATACTCGGTATTTACATAAGTTTTGTTTTTTATTATTTATTATGCAGGGATATTCCCCTAAGATTCATGTCAAATGTCAAACTTCAACTTTTAGAGAAGTTTGTAATCAGTTGGTTGCAAAATTTAAGGAGCCGTTAGTTGCAAGACTACGCCAGCTACATGTTGAAACTCATTCACTATGAATTAAGTTGTTAAACCTAAGCTTATGTCCCACGGCTAACCAAGAGGGGGGTGAATTGGTAATTAAAAAAAAATTAACCCTCTTTTTAAATTAGGAAACAAAAATAAAACTTAAGTGAATTTTTCTAGAAAACGTTTTTCAATCACAGTTTTAAAGTAAAAACACAAAAATAAAAAAGCAGCGAAAAAATAAAGACACGAGATTTATAGTGGTACGGTCAAAACCAGACCTACATCCACTCCCCAGAGGCACCCTCCGAGTATTGCACTGATACTAATAGTGACTCTCCTTTTGCACCCACAGCAAGGCGGAGAAGCCTTTACAAACACTCATTCCACCACTACCCGGTGCGGTAGAGAACCATCGTCCTTTTACACTATCCCCAGTGTTGGCAAAGAACCGTCGTTCTTTCACACTCTCCTAGTGTGGGCAGAGAACCCTTCGGATGTTCACACTCTCCTAGTGTGGGCGAAGAACCCTTTGGCTGTTCACACTCTTCTAGTGTGGGCAGAGAACCCTTCGGCTGTTCACACTCTCCTAGTGCGGGCAGAGAACCCTTCGGCTATTCATACTCTTCAAGTGCCGGCACAGAACCGGATCTCCTTGATAGATCTTCTTCACAAGAAATCTAGAAGTAAAAAAGAAAAGAGTGACGTAAACATAAATCAAAAGTAAAGATTCTTACCTTTGAACACCAAGTGAAGCCTTCACGCTCTAGTAGTAAGAATCCTCCTTCGAACTCTCTCTTACACTCTCCCCTTGACTCTTTTTTTAATAGGCACGAAGATCAATAGGCAAAAAGATTAAGTGGCAGTTTAGTTTGGACTATTTACAGGAAAGACACAAAAAAATCATCCAAAAACTACAAATTTTCAAGTCAATACGCATTGGATTGTCCCGTACGATCGTGGATTGTCCTGGATGATTTTACTTAAATGCGTTGGAAATGAACCTAATATATATGGGTACGAAATGACTTCGTAAACACATCGTCCCGCTAGGTTCGTTCAGTATGAATGGTTATTCCATAGGTCGGTTCCCAAAAACTGCAGAACGTCACTAAAATTTTTGAATCGGTTCACTTCGTCCTGGGGATGAATATGGGTTCGTTCGGACGAAATTTTTCCTGAGAGCAACTCGTCCCGGGACGAATACACTTCGTTCTGGACGAAAATACTCCAGAGAGAAACTCGTCCTGGAATGAATACACTTTTTTCTGAGCAAAAATTTTCCAGAGAACATTTCGTTCTATGACGAATACACGTTGTCCTGGACGATCAGGACTTAAAAAATTTTTCTTCAACTTCTGTTTGTTCTATTGCTCTTACGAGGAGATAACAGACCTGATCGTCCCGTACGATCAGTTCAAATTTCTCAAGATCTCCTAAAGTGTGTGTGTGTGTATTCGCTCAGTTACAATCACTCCCTCTCAAACTTAATTCAAAGAAAAATAAAAGTTTTAAATACACAAACTATCTCATGCTGAATTTGATTTGAAGTCTTTGTAGTCTGGAGTTTGATCTTCCTGAAATGTTAGTTCACACAAGAGCAAAAATAACTCTTCCAAAAAGTGTTAGGAGATAACTATACATAAAATAATAATATTTGAAATCATCAAAACTATACAAGTTGCAAGAATGTAAAACATGCAAATAGCAGCTCTCTTAACACTAAATATTAATCAGTTCCTAATACTGCCTCAATTCCCTCAGAATATTCTAATTGTTTTTATTTTATTGTCGAAGTGGGATATGCAGTCTGAATGTTTTGTTATTAATAGCAAGTTGTTACCTTTCCCATCTGATAAAATTGCTTTGATTCTTAGCTTGCCTAACAGAGGAATTAAATTGGAGCCAGATACTGCTAGAATGAGTGGAGTCACAGCAAATGACATAAGGCATGATATTGAGAAACTGGATATGTCAACTCTAGTAGAGAATATAGTGAAAGAATTCATTATTTACTTATTGTCTAACATGTTCTTTCAAATGGGCAACTTCTGTTTACCAACTGCAATATTGGACGTTGCAAAGAATATCTACAACTTTGGAGCATATAACTAGCCCCAATCTATTAGGGATTTCCTAGTGATTGAATTTAATGCAATTGTAAAAAAACAATCAAAAGGTTATTCACTAGGATATGTCAATGGATTTGTGATGATTGTAATTGTGATTATTTGTTACAGATATGATTTGTTTTTATTTACATAACTATTGTCAATTGTTTTTTTATCATGATTAAATTGAATTGTTTGGTTTTATTTTTTACAGATATGATTTTTTGAACATACAAAGTTCCACGCCATAGTGGATGATGTAACTCGAACCCGTCTCACTCGGTGGGATGGAAAATTTAATTATAGAGATAAAGATGTTAACAATTTGTTAACTGCCCTTCAAGATACTGAGTAGCAAACCTAGGTGTAGTCATTTAAATTTCTGATTTATTTATATATTTTTGATGACTATAAACACATTTTGTGTAGATTTTCACACATTTTTAAGGAATTACAGATGCTGAGAAGACTTTACTTGATAGTTCTTCCACATATCCAACAGAAGAGCGTCTGCAAATTATACTTACACACAACCCCAAACATATCTTCTAAGCCCCCCACTCCATCTCCACCAAGTCAAGCCAGTCTAATTAGAGTGCCAAGCCCAACTGAATCTCCTAGCCAACCGCCAAGCACCAGTAAGACCCCATAGAAAGAATCAACCCCTGATCCTGATCCAAATAATTCTATTTTAGAGAAAATAAACTTGAAGATCCTTAATCAATCCATTTACAAATTTATTACCTAACAAAACGTACTAGTCAAAAAACTTTCCTCACTCGAACTATCGAATAGTATAGTTGAAAGATGGGTTGCGACATTGGAGCAAGCAGTATTCGACATACAAGATGAGACTAAATTGAAATTTGCTATTATAGAGAACTTGACTGGTAATTTTTCTGCCTCTTTTAATCTCACCGGAGTGAAAGACCAGTAAAATCTTCTTCAAGAACTGTATCTGACCATAACAATTTGAATGAATTAGTCAAATATGTTGACCAAATTATTGAGGAAATTACAAAAGAAGCATATGTGGAAGGGATGGATGAGCTTGTTACCCATTGTGCCCCATCTGCAGCCCCACATAAAGTGGTCTGCGCACACACAAAGAATCTACAAGCCCAAGTACATGAATCCTTAGAAGATAAGGATATTAACCAATCTGAAGATGAGGAATTTCCTTCATCAAATTGGGGAGGCATTGCTTGACATGTATAGATAAGGAATGATAGAAAAAGGAAACGGCTTAAAACTCCA